TTATATAAATTATTTATAAAAATAAAAAAAGAATGTATCTAGCCAAATTCTAAGAAACAAGTATGGTCTTGATACATAAAATAGAGACTAAACAGGGAAAGAAAACTATAGACCAATATCTTTAATAAATATTAATGCAAAATATTAAATAAAATATTTATCTGAAGTAAAGAAGTCACAGCAACATATTAAAAATATTACATGTTATTATCAGTTTTTATTTATAGGAGGAATAGGGAATTGGTTCAATATTAGAAAAAACTATAAACATAATAGATCTTATTAATAACAAAAATAATAATAATGACATGATTATATTAATGATGCAGCAAAAGCTTTTAAAACACATTTTTTTCTGTTAAAAACATTAAAAAGCATAGGAACAAATAGATCATTCATCAATATGGTAAATATCATCTCTCAACCAAGAGCCAGCATTGTCTATGATGGAGAAATGCTAGAAGCTTTTCCAAGAAGGACAAAGAGAGAGCGAGGGCATCCATTGAAATCACTATTTGACATAATTCTAGAAAATCAAGCTGTAGTAATAGTACAGGAGAAGAAAACCAAGGCAAAGAAAAAACGAAATTATGCTCTTTGCAGAAGTTATGATGGTTTACTTAGAAAATCCTAAAAATTCAACTAAAAATTGAAATCTTTAATAAATTAAGCAAAATAGCAGAATGTAAAATAAAGCTATGAAAACCAGCTTTTCTGTACATTATCAGTAAAGAAAGAGATAGAAAAAATCTTTAAAAAGAAAGAGAGAAAAATTGTTCCTTTCAAAATAAATAAAATGTCTTAGATATCTCTGGGAATGTACCTATTAAGACTTAACACAGGAGTTATACAAATATACTTACAAAACTTTTTTTTTATAGAAATGTTGTTGTTCAATCATTTTCAGTAGTGTCTGACTCTCCATAACTCCATTTGGGGTTTTATTGGCAAAGATACTGGAGTGAGTTGCCATTTCTTTCTCCAGCTCCTTTTACAGATGAGGAAACCGAGGCAAACTCAGAGTTAAGTGACTTGCCTGGAGTCACAGCTAGTGTCTTGGGCCAGATTTTGAACTCTGGAAGATGAATCTTCCTGACTCTAGGCCTGGCACTCTATCCCCGGTGCCACCTAGTTGCCCACAGATTCACAGACTGACTTGAATATCTGGAGAAATATTAATTGCTTATGATTGGGCCATTCCAATATAATAACAATGGCAATACTACCTAAATTAATTTACAAATTCAGTGTCATACCACACAACCAAAGTATTGTTTTATAGAACTAGGAAAAAATAATAAAAATTCATCTATTTGAACAAAAGGTTAATTATCCCAAGGAAAATAATGGAAAAAATAGTGAGAAAGAAGGATACCTATTTCAAACTATACTACTAGCAGTAAGCATGAAAAGTATTTGGTTCTGGTTTAAAATAGAAAAGTTAATCTGTGAAACAGATAAAATATAAAAGAAGCAGTGTAGGACAGTAGAAAGAATTCTGGATTTGGAGTTAGAATATCTGAGTTCAAATCTCATCTCTGTTACTTATCACCTGTGTGACCTTGGGAAATTCACATCACATCTCTGGGCCTCAGTTTCTTCAATTATAAAATTAGAGCATTGGGCTAGATTGCCTCTAACACCCCTTCGAGCTCTAACTCAGCGATTCTGTGATTTAGAAGTAAATAAAAATAGTAGCATTTTTGTTTTGTTTGTTGTTCGGCCTTTTCAGTTGTGTCTCTTTGTGATCCTATTTGCAGTTTTCTTGGCAGAGACACTGAAGTGGTTTGCCATTTCTTTCTCCAGCTCATTTTACAGATGAAGAAACTGGGCAAACCTAGATTTAAGTGACTTGCCCAGGGTCACACAGCTAATAAGTGTCTGAGCCCATATTTAAACTCAAGAAGATGAGTTTTCTTGACTCCAGGCCCAGCACTCTATCCACTGCACCACCTAGCTACATGGAGCTGAAAACTTATGGAAAAATTGGAAAACAGTCTTGCAGAAATTAAATTTAAACCAATATTTCACACAATATACCACAATAAGCTCCAAATGGATACACAATGTAGACAGAAAGGATCACGTCATAAATGAATTGCAAGAGGAGAGAACAAGATGCCTTTCATTTTTTTATGGAAAGAATTCTTTCTCTGTAAGATTCCTTATAAGTGATGGAGAGGATCATAGGAGATAAAATGGGTAATAAAATAAACATAAAATTGAAATGGTTGTACACAAAAAATAAATTAAGTTCAAATGAAAAGGGAATAGTTTTACTGGGAAAACATCTTTGTATTCAACTTCTCTGATAAAGTTCTGATACCTGGGATATAGAGAATATTGATTAAAATATATAAGAACTAGAGCTATTTGATAGGTAGTGGTCAAAGGATATGAACAGTCAGTTCTCAAAAGAAGAAATGTATACAACTGCCAACCGAATGAAAAATGCTCCAAGTCACTAATTATAAAAGCCAGTACCAAATGACTTTGATAATCAGCTGCAGTTGAGTCTCTAAACCTCTAAGTATGGAACAGTTGAGTCATGAGTAGAAAGTAATTAGTGTGGGAAAGACTGGGGATTTGGATTGGGCTGCAATCTTAGTATGAGGGAATACTATTTTATAGTAACCAAAAATGCAAACCCAGGCTATATTAGGGAAAATGTGGTATACTCTACTCTTCCCAGGTCAGCCTACAGTTAAATTACTCATTTCTGGGCACATTTTGGACTCTGACAACTTGGAGTCCTCTGCAGAAGAGTTATCAGAAACCAAGGGAGAGTAGAGGGGACGGGGAGGGAACAGGCATTCATTAAGTGCCTACTATGTGCCAAGCATTGTGCTAAGCATTTTACAAAAGTTACGTCATTTGATCCTCACAACAACCCTGGGAGATAGGTGCTATTATTATCCTTATTTTACAATTGTGGAAATGGAGGCAGAAGGAAGTAAAGTGACTTTCCCAGGGTCATACAGCTAGGAAGTATCTGAAGCTAGACTTAAACTCAGGTTTTCTTGCATTTAAATGAGAATCCTATAGCTATGGATACTAGAGACTAAGTATCCATTGAACGAATTGGGTGTGTTTGTCCTAAAGAAGAGAAGAATTAGGGAGGGGGTCATAAAAGCTAAATACCTCAAGGGCTATCAGAGAGAAAAAGAATCAAATTTGTTTTGGAGGTTCCCATGGGAACGGGATTAGGAACAAGAGTGGAAAGTACAAGAAGCAGACTTAGGTACAATGAAAGGGACGGACTCCTAAAAAAAAGTGCAGTTGTCCAAGATGGAAAAGGCTGACTCAGGAGAGAATGGATTTCCCATCACTAGAGATCTTCAAATGGAAGACGGATGACTTTCTGTCAGGGATGTTGCCAAGGAGAGACAGATACATGAGATACCTTACACTTTGGAGAATCTATAATTCAGTGATATGAGAAATGAACCACTTCTCAAATGCATGGTCTACACCAGAGACCATGTCATGAACGCCTTCTCAGAATAATATTTTTTAAATAATTAAAAGACATCTTAAATCCCCGTTAGAAGTTAGTGAAAACAAAGATGTAATTTTTTACCATCCAAGTTCATGGAGCCCTTCCCCTGAAATCTATCCATGAACCCCATGGACTCTCCTGGTTTTCCTTCTTTGTTTCTGACTGATACTTCTTTCCCTTTCTTTAATTCTTCTCCCTCTTTCCCCTCTTTGTGGTATTAGACAAGGCCCTGTCTTTGGCCTTCTGCTCTTTCCTTCAGTCAAACCACCATTTATGACACTCCCTTGCACAGATCCCTCTTCTCCCTCTCCTCCAGGTGTTTTTTCCTCTACCTTCCCTTGCTGATTTGTAGCATGAGATCTTTCAAAGGATGCCACTTTTTCTTGACTCTAGATTTATGCATGCACACTGGAATCCTGATATTAGTGTGCTATCACATTAATGTGCTTTTAGATCAGAGCTATAACTAGAACAAGGCAACTCGGGGCTTTGCTCTAGGGTGCCAAGCTATAGAGACCTGATCTTCCTTCTCGGGTAGATCTCCTTTGGGCCAAGCCACAGCTAGTCTATAACTATAACATGACTTCTGGGAGATCCAGTGGCCTGCTGGTGTATCCGTTTCATGTTTTTGCTCTACTCTGAGGTCAAAGGAGAGCACTGATGCTCTTTCTGCTACTTCCTTCTCCCTGTCCCTGCCATTTCATCTTGGGTTTAGGGATCATTGGCTGCACTGTGGGGCACAGAGGCCCACTTAGGTGGTGAATGGGCTGTACCTTCCCTCTTGCAACTTCACCCCAAAAGTGAGTGGTTTGCATGAAAGCCTCCTGTGACCGCAATGAAGATGAAGGCTTCTACGTGAAAGATGAGAGCCTGGAGCTTTCCCACATCCTAGGTAAGGTCCTCCTTTGCCCAGGCCCTCTCCCTTCCCACCCTCACCACGTGCTTGCTCCAGATTCCAGAACTACTAGTTACAGCTTTTCTTCAGCTCTGCCATTTTTTTTTCTATAGCTCTCTGCACTCCTCTTTTTTTTTTCTTTCTTCCTTCTCCCTGCTTTAGAAGATCATTTGTTTCCACAAATTTTACCACCTGGTCCTCTTGGTCCTGCTTGACTTCTAAGGCTACGGCATCTGAATTTTCAAAGCTTTGCCAATGATGTGACAAAAGGTTATAACCTTAATGCTGTCTGTTCCCTGCTTGCCAGCCAGCAGATAACAAACAATCACATTTTATGAACCGAACTTGCAAACAACAGTAACATCGGTACCACAGGGGTCCAAAAGAGCTTGTGCTCCTCTCTAAGCCTATAACTTAACACAAAAGTGTGTATTAGTTGTGGGAGAAAATCTGAGTCATTCATATTTGAATCAGAATATGCCACTGAGTTAAAAAAAATCAAACCAACCAAGCTTACTTTTAAAGATGTATTTATCACTTACTTGAATTTTTTAAAAAGAATTTTCATTCAACCAGTAACAGGTGCTGTATTTATACCTTTCTTACCTGTACCAGATTCCATCCTTTGAGAGATTCAGCAATGATGGATGTGACTGAGGGGCAGACTCCTCCAAATACCATGAGGTGATTAGGCCCGTATTTTATTGCATCATAGAATGCTTTTAGCCCTTTTGCATTATCACACTGGAGAAGGCCAGAGAAAGAGAGAAAAAGAGAGATAGAAATTAGTATTAAAAGTAATTCTCCTGGCCACTACCAAGAATACATTTAAACACAACATTTTTTTTCCCATTTGACTGGATTTTGCTTATGAAAATAGAGCCACTTACCAAACCTTCAGTTTTGGTGGAGGTACGCAGTACTGATGTAAAATGTCAATTAGTTAAATTTTGTCTTTGATTTCCTTAGATTCTCTTTTAGCCACTGGCTACTTTACTCAGTTTAAGTATTCCCTCTGTCCCATAACCTCAATGCTCCCTAGAACATTCTGTTCCTCTCATATACCCTTAAAAGGGTATATGACAAACTCACTCATATCAAGATAATAGAGAATTAATATTTTGCCCCTCCCGGGAATTATCTGCATTTTAAAAAGAGCATTTTTGGAAAGGACAAGGAAAATAACAAAGAGGAGGATGACAATTCTCATATTTTTCAACATGTCAAGGACTTAGAAAGACTTTATAGACAATATTAATAAATTAGAGTAACTAAACAAACATCCCTGGTGGGTAACCCTCTGGCAATAAACCTTTGTGTACTTAGCTACATTTCAGATATACAACACATGCTCGAAGCCTTTCCAGTTTGGTAAGACTATCATGACTTAGACTCTGTTAACATGACCTTTGGTATCTGGAGTCACCTCCATGCCTCCAAGAGGCATGGGTCAGTGGAGGGTCACTCTTCCTCCTCCTCCATCTTTCAATATTTGTTAAGTATTAAAATTACTGTTACTATGTTAACTGCTAGGAATACAAAGAGGAATGGGCAAGTTCCTACCCACAAATCTCTTTGGGGAGACAAGCAATATACACAAAAAGATAAAATCACAATAAAAGATTGGATATATTTGATGACATTTAAGTGACACACCAGTTGTCTCCAATTCAAATGGCTAATTTTTCTTCAGTTAATAATCCTTTGTACTATCATTGTCTAAATCTTCATTTCTCTTCACAGAGACTTATCACTCCAAGTACATATTCATGTGGACATAGTGTTGTATGTGATTTGGGGGTCAGTCAGTCAATATGCATTTATTAAATACCTACTATGTATCAGAAACTGTGCTAAATTATGAGGATACAAAGACAGGCAAAAGATAGTTTCTGCTCTCATGGAGCTTATGGTCTATTGGGAAGACAACATGAAAATAAATACATTCAAAAAAGATATATATGATATCAATTGGAGATAATCAGTAGAGGGAAGACATTAGTGTTTGGGTGGATCAGGGAGGCTTCTTGTAGAAGTTGAGATTTTAGCTGTGCCTTGAAGAAACACAGGGAATTCAGGAGGAGAGAGAGTATTCCAGTAATAGAGGGACAGCCGGTGAAAATTCATAGTCCAGTGATGGAATATTCTTTTCAAAGAATAGCAAGAAAGTCATTGTCACTGGATTGTAGTGCACATGAGAGGGAGTGAGATGAAGAAAGACCAGAAAGGAAGGAGAGGGTTAAGTGATGAAAGGTAGAGTATTTTATATTTGATCCTTGGAGTAACAGACAACTACTGAAATTTATTTAATAGAGGGGTAATATAGTCAGGCTTGTATATTCAGAAGATCAATAGACTGGACTGGGGAAAGCCTCGAGGGAGAAAGACCAACCAGAAGGCTATTGTAGTAGTCCAGGCATGAGGTGATGAGAACCTGTACCATGTAATGTCAATATAAGAGGAGAGAAGGGGGCATACTAAAGGTATTATGAAGGTAAAATTGACAGGACTTGGCAGCAGATTGTATATGGCAGTGGGGGGGATGGGGTATAGGAGAGGAGTGTGAGAGAGAATGAGGAATCAAGGGTGACACCAAGGTTTTGAGACTGGGTGACTGGGAAGATTGCGTGTCCCTGACAGTAATGGGAAACTTAGCAAGAGAAAAGGATTTTGGGGAAAGATAATTAAGTTTTGGATATGTTGAGTTTAAGATATCTATGGGACATACAGTTTGAGATGTCCAATAGACAGTCGAAGATGTGAGTCCAGAGGTTAGAGCCGGATAAGTAGACTTGTGAATCATCAGCATAGAGATGATAATTGAATCCAAGATCACTCAGTGAAACAATATAGAGGGAGAAGAGAAAAGAGCCCAGGACAGTGCCCGAGGGAATGCCTGCCAGTATTAGATGTGACCTAGATGAAGACTAGCAAAGGAGACTGAGAAGGAAAGGTCAGATAGGTAAGAGGAAAACCAGAAGAGAGTAGTATCACTGTAACCTAGAGAGAAAAGAATATCAAGGGGAAGAGAGTGATTAACAGTGTCAAAGGCTGCAGAGAGGTAGGATTGAGGATTAGAAAAGATCACTAGATTTAGCAATTAAAAGATTATTGGTAATTTTGGAAAGAGTAATTTCAATTGATTAATGAAGTTGAAACATAGACTGGAGTGAGAGGAAAGAAAGTGAAACATCTATCATAGACAGCCTTTTCAAGGAGTTTAACCACAAAAGGGAGGACAGATATAGGATGATAGCTAGTGGGGATGGAGGGCTCAAAGAAGGGGTTTTGGGGGATGGGAGAGACAACCATGTTGGTAGGCAGTATGGAAGCAGACAGTAGAAAGAAAGAGATTAATGAGAAGAGAGAGAATGGAAATGATAGAGGGAACAATTTGCTGGAGAAGATGGGATGGACAGAGTTTTCTGACAGCCTGATCTGGCTCAAAGGTAGGGTGTCCAAGAGGTCAGTATTTAACTGATCTGATTGGTGCTATGGGATAGAGTCTGAGCTGCTTCTTACACTGTGATACATTATATCCAATTTGTTTAAATCTGGATTTTGCAAACCCTAGCTTCAGTAGAGGAAAATGCATGTGCTTGTGAAGGGAAGGCAAGGAAGAGGATTGGTTGAGCTTTCTGATATACACAATAGATATTCTATTTCTTTAATCCACCCCCTTCTCTCTACTCATGTCAATATCACCCCCCAAGCTAGGTCCCCATCATTTGACTTATAAAAGCCTCCTAATTTTTTTCCTTGTCTCCAGTTTCTCACTTCCATCCTCCAAAAGGCTACCTTGATGTTCCTAATGCATGGCTCTGACCATATTACTCCACTGCTCAAGAAGTTCCTATGGCTTGTGATTGCTTCTAGAATAAAAAAGACGCCTGTTTTTCTGGGGATATTTCACATTAATGCCATCTATGCGTTCTATAATGTATTCGAATTGGCCAAATTGCTGCACCTTTTACATGACATTCCTTCTCCCATATCTTGTGCTTTTGCATAGGCTGCCATTCATACTGGACTATTGCATCAGCCTTCCAATTTTTCTCTGTCTCAAATCTCTCCCTACTCCAACGCATCAGTGGATTGCAGCTGCCAATGTTACTGTTGTCATTTAGTTGATTAGTCATGTCCGACTCTTCGTGACCCTATTTGGGATTGTCTTGGCAAAGATTCTGGAGTTGTTTATCATTTCCTTTTCCAGCTCTTTTACAGAGGAGGAAACTGAGGCAAGCAGGGTTAGTTTAGATCTGACTTTCTTTGTGTGATAACTGTTTTGTAATTGTGCTCATACGGTTCCTGAGTTTGTAATGGCAGGTAGTTTCCCAAATATTTTACCTTGTCTACAGTTATTTTAAATGGAATTTCTCTATCTCTTGCTGCTGGATTTTTCTTGGCAAAGAAACTGAGTTAAATGACTTGCCCAGGGTACACAGTCAGTAAGTGGCTGAGGCCAGATTTCAACTCAGGTCCTCCTGATTGCAGGGCTGGCGCTCCACTGTGCCACCCAACTGCCCCTAGCTTGTAGTTGCCAAAATGATTTCCTAAAGGGCAGATCTGACCATGTCACTGCCCTTCTCATCCAATTAACTCTAGTGCTCCCCTTTACCTTTAGGATCAACTAAAACTCTCTCCTGTTTGACATTTAAAGCAAGTCACTTACCTTTTGTCTGCCTCAGTTTCCCCAACTATAAAATGAGGATAATAATAGCATCTTGCCTCCTAGGGTTACTGTGACCATCAAATGAGATAATATTTACAAAGTGTTTAGGACAGTGCTCAGGCACATAGCAGGTGTTTAATTAATGCTTGTTTTCTTCCTTCTCTGTCTTTCTTTCCTCTACCCCTTCTTTAACGGAGTGTAGGTGAAGCACATATATAAATGAAGCACATATATAAATATTAAGAATATTATATCATGGAATAAAGTTTTATGTTTTCTATTCTTAATTTTTAAAATAGATAAATTTAACCTCCCCGATTTTTTTCAAGCTTTTTGGAGACTGCCTTTTCAGGTAATGAGTTCCTTATCACTCAAGTATTCATGAGAAGCTGGATAATTGATTGTCAGTGATTTTG